GGGCTCACATTAGGGTCCTGTCATCTATCGTCAGGCATGTTCTTGGGGTCTCTAGGCCTCAGCTCCTGCTGGCAATCTTATTAGAGACAAGTAATACTTAAAATAATTAACAATGGGAAGAGGGGAACTGACCTATCAGAATAGACATTGACCAGTCTATTATAAAACCAGTCCACACACATGAATGTCTGCCAGCTACTAACTTCAGTCAATCAAGGTCAGCACACTTCTTGCGGCTCCTTGGCCTGCCTTCATCCATGGTTTTGTGTTGTTTGTCTTTGTTTTTGTTTTAATTAAAATACAGTCACACTTCAGTACTCATTGGCTTCAGAACTTGTCAAACCCTGTACTTGTCAAATTTTGATGAGAAAAAAATTTTTTTCAGTACTTGGCACTTGCTCGGGACTTGTTGCACTTGCTAGAACCTGAATGAGTCACAATACCACCCCCAAGAGAAAACTTTTCATCGTTCAGTAGTCATTGGTTTTGACACTCGTTGAGAGTTCCAGAATGAATTAACGATGACTACTGAGGTACCACTGTATTTTTAAATAATTTTTTAAGTTTTATTTATTGATTTGGGAGTGAAGAAGGGAGGGGGAGAGAAAGAGTAGGAGGGGTTGCGGGGGGGAGAGAGAGAGAGAAGCATTACTTTGTTTTTCCACCTATTTATGCATTCGCTGGTTGTTTCTTGTATGTACCCTGACGAGGGATCAAACTTGCAACCCTGGTATATCTGCATGATGCTCTAACCAACTAAGGTAGCTGGCCAGGCCTGCCTTTGTCATGTGCGTCAGGATCTGCCACCACATGTTCCCACCAATGTCTGTCTGGCAGCCAAAAGGTGATCTGTGGCAAGTTTAGCAACCTCTCTGCCTTGTTTGCTGACATGAACTTAAAGGGCAACAAGAGCTCCTTAAGATCTTGGTGAGTCCAACACCAGCCAGAGATTTCCTGAAACAGCTCCTACCATGTTTGTTTAGAGTCTTCTCCATTCTTAGATCCTGAAGAAGCCATTTGCCCAGGCCTTTACAGTCATGAAAAGCCTCAAGTTTAGACTTTTGATGTGATTTCGGAGTGAGGATAAATATACAGTCAACAAGAGATAAGTGACTGAAGTGAGAGGGGGAGATGGTTAACTTTAAATCTGGTCTTATTTCCTCACAAAAGAGTCTGTAAGTCCCTCATAACTTTACATGTCTATAAATCCTGTCACGTCCTTGGGAATGTCAAGCTATACACAACAATTTGTTTTTGCTGTAATCAGACATTAATTTGTTAAATACATGTTTTTAAAACATACTAATTGTTGTCATGGGTTTTGTCACTTCACGCTTAATTTATGGAAAGCCTGCAGAATTGGGAAGGCCCCGGCCAGGGTCTTCCAAAGTGACTGGTCTGTTGGAACTGCTCCTCTCACAACTAACACTCTGTTATTAGGTCAAGCTGGTTGGCTTGACTTTCTCTTCCCTGGGGATAAGTCTGTTCCCCGACTTCTCCTCAGTCTCTCTTACAAGTAGACTTTCCCTCAGGCTGCCCAAGGAGGCCTGAGAAAGGAGGCCAGGTTCAGCTAAATCTGGGAGCCCAGTGCTCAGTAGGGACACAGTAAACATGCCCCAACAACAAAAAAATACATGCTTGTCTAACCAGAGTACTGATAGACCTGTGGTTTGCTCCATGAGATCTCCAACCAGGAGCCTGCCTGCTCAGGGCTACAAGAAATGGGGGGAAGCAGAAGCAGCCAGGACGCAAGGCCTTCTTTCCTCCACCCCCCCTCTCACCACTAGAGCGGGCCATGGCTACCTGTCTTATACTGACCACCTACCTACTCAGCTCCTGCTTGTAAAAAGTTCACAGCTTTAAACATATTTGAGAATGCCTCAGAGCATTTACATGATTAGTGGAGGTGTGCATTTACTAAGTCTCAGACTGTGGCATCTAAGATTAGAAGGGTCTTAGAGAGTGTGAAGTGCAGCTCTTTCTGCTGGATCAGTGAGCCCAGTGCTACTGATCTGGGTTCCGGTGCCTTTGGCAGCTGGACCTGCAGTGCTGAGAACCTGTGCTTGTGCAGTGAATACTGTTCTTGGTTTCTGACCTTTAGGGCAGATCCTAGGAGAAAAAGCAGTGGTGATGGGGGATACAGGGGCTTAAGGAAACCCTTGCCCTACTCAGTTGATTGAATCATAAAATTCAAAGAGCCTGGAAGACCCAGCGTCTGACTAGAGGAACAGGCATTGGGCCTGGGCCAGAGGTGGCCAGGGTCAGCTTTGCTCCAATCTCTGCGTGGACCCGTGCCAACCGCATATCTTCTGGCCACATTTTTGGGTGAGATGCTTCAGAACACCACATTTCTCACTTCACCTATATCTGTTGTCGGCTCTAGGTACAAGGATTTCAAATTGAGCTCAAAACTGCCCTTCAGAGTCAATTATAACATGTCTATGGCCCTGGCTGGTGTAGTTCAGTGGATTGAATGCTAGCCTGCAAAACAAAGGGTCACCGGTTTGATTCCCAGCCAGGGCACATACCTGGGTTGTGGGCCAGGCCCCTAGTAGGGGACGTGCGAGAGGCAACCACACACTGATGTTTCTCTCCCTCTCTTTCTCTCTCCTTTTCCCTCTCTCTGAAAATAAATAAATAGAATCTTTAAAAAAAGTCTATGAATACTGAAAAATTCCCTAAAAATGTACCCACTTTGAGCCATAGATTTTTGAAAATGAATTTGAGTTCATTAGCTTCTAGTCACTGAAACAAAACATTCCTTCCAGTTTGAGAGGGGTTGGTTGGTGCAGGAAGAACTACTAATACTTTTCATTGTGTGTAATAGCATCGAGGGGATGCAATCGCAGAGCTTAGAGCTTTTGTTTCATTTTTCAGTATCTCAAGTGATTTAATTACCTTGTCTGGGACTGTATAACTCATTCCTCTTTGCGCTTTAATTGGTCCATCTAGGACTAGAGAAAAGCTTGCTACCTTCAAATGCAGGAATAGTATGATAATTATTAAGCCTATTTTCAATATTCTGAATGAAACTGTGGAAATTTAAAAATATAAAGAAGTCAAATAGAATATTTGTCAATATTATTTCATTAAGTCTCAGCATCTTCATAAAATGGACTAAAATATAATTCCAATAACCAAGGTTAAGTAACTTGTAAAAACCACAAAGTGAGTCTGTACCATGCATTCATTATATATATATATATATATATATATATATATATATATATGTATGTATGTATAATTGCCTTTGAATTATACATAGAATTTAAAGAAACTTAGAAATTTCTCCAAACTGTAATTTTCACAACTTAGAAAAATTACAAAAGTAATAATAAAAGGTTTACATTCATCTAAATGTAAACTGCACATAGCACAAATCAAAGCTGTATTCATTTAAACTTTTAGGGAAACATTTAGACTTCCTCCTCTACATAATAAAGTTTCACTTAAAAGATAATTTAGAGTATTTATTCATTTATCATTTCTTTTCAACATAAACAGTTGCATTTTAAACTAAATTCTGAGCATGTATTCAACATCTGCAAATACATATACATCTTACCTCCCCTTGGGATAGCTGTGAACTTGTGTGGTTTAACCTACTCAGAGTTCACTGTACTTTCAAAGCCATATCAAAGTTAAATAGCCCATTTTTAGTTGTTACACTGGAGATCCCGCCACGAAAAATGATCTCATCCTCTCCTTTGTGTCATTCTCACTGACACTATTTTAGTTCACCTTTTTTGTTGATGTCACTGCCTCAGCTTGTCCTTCAGCTCAATCCTGAGAAGTCAAGCGGTGACCTGGTAACTCTTTCCCTTTACACCCAAATACGTTTCCTTGCCTGCTGTTAGATTCAGGAGCCACAGAACACACTCAGAGGAAGCTCTGCTTAAGACAGAACTAGGAATATTGAAAGGTGAGCCTGGTATTATTCATTCTTGACTGGAAGTGGGAAATCAAGAGGAGGCTGAGCAAGGAGCAGGTCAGGGAAGAATGACAGCTTCTCAGCACCCCCAGGATGTACCTCTCTGGGCTTCCATGAGAGAGGTCAAGGACTGAATTCCAAGATCAGACAAACCCACAATGCAAAAGTAAGGAAGTAAGATCCATTCCAAGGTGAATGCCTTTGGTATCATGTGATGTTTTGGATTATTCATGAAATTCCAGTATATGGCCTGGGAATGCATTTCATAGGTGGAACAGAGTTGAGGAAAGCATTAGGAAGGAGAGAATTGTTTGTGTTTGACTTCATTTCTATTACCATTCATCTCCATCCTTTTGAGAACAAACTGAATGGATGGGAAGAGGCAGCTAAAACTATGCAATGTGTTTGTGGGAACTGTAAACGTGGAAGTGAAGAAAAGCGTTTGGTGTAGCAACATAATTGAAATAAATGAAAAATTTCCGAATTTCACCTCTTGGAGAAAAAGTGTTAAACCTCAGTTCAAAAGGCTGGTTTTAAAGAAAGCAGGAGCAAGGTAGCAGTGGTTTTAGGCTCCAAAGAGAATAAAGATCCAATTCATTACAAACAGATGCTGGGAACGTAAAAACATAGTTGTGTTCATTGATTATGTAACTAATCATTTTTATGAAGCCTACTTAGCCTGATTTTAAAAGTGGTTTTTATAATGTTCACTTGTTACAGGTTGCCTATTCGTGACAACAAATGAAAAAGTGTGTGTGTGCTTGTACGGGTGCGCGTGTGTTTACACATTTGACTATCTTACTGGTCAATCATGCCAAAATGAAAAAAAGATTTACTCATCACACTGTCAGCACAATCGATGGGGCCCAGTTTAGCCATTGTGAGACCTCAGCCTTCACATTATAGCTCCTTATCACTCCTCCCACCAGACCCTGTCTCCTCTCCATGCACCTAGCATGCTCACGTGTACACACACACACACACACACACACACACACACACACACACGTGAGACGCGAGTTCCGCTGCTTCTCTAGCCGGTCGCCGGAGCCATTCTGCCTCACTTTACCTCTGGCCCAGGGAGGATGCCGGCTGCCGCTGGCTCTGCCGCTGCCATCAGTCTCGGCTGGTCTCCCGTTCGGGTTCAGACGACCGCGGCCCTCTGTGTTTTCAACAGGTACCATGGTAGAAGTTACAGCCTTTGCCTCGGCACCAAACCACTCCCCCCCGTGGCAACAGTGATCACTTTCCCCATGGTCGCATGCTTAAGAAGGTGAAAAAAAAAAAAAACAACAAAAAAACTTCAGGCAAAGCCAATGTGATTTGTGACCAACTTTGTTTCTATTTCCGAAGGCTTTGCCCTTTTCGGTGACACAGGCTGTTGCTATTCCAAGCAGCCTATCACAGGCAGTGGGAGGGCCGTGTCTCCGAGGACTGTTTGTGCCTTTAGACGCAGACTTGGGCGCAAGGGGTTAAAAGGCTTGGGAAGAAACGGAGCTCCGACTCCGCGTTTGGCCCGTTAACGCTGGTTTCCTGCACCTTTGAGAAGAGGCACGAAAAGAAGCAAGCAGATTCGAACGTAGGCTGAGAGCGAGGGCCCAGAATCCTCACAGATGGTATCAGTTAATCGTGCAGAGAGAGGAACAATTTATGCCAACACATACCAGAAGGGAAAGTGTGTCAAATTTTCAGCAAGACTGTTATTCTAAGACTCATGACACTTACCAGCTTACACAAAGCAGAAAACATCTTTATTGTTTCAGCCGGATTTTACTTTAGGTGAATGCCTTATGTGCTCCCTCTCCAAGGCCTGCCAGACAAACCAAGGCCTGAGACCAAGCATGCACAAGCTCAGAATGCATGGACCCTCTGGGCTTCTTATTCCCTGGGATTAGAGCAAAATAAACCAGTGTATTGATGCACAGTTGTCTTTAAGAGAGGAACCGACCCCAAATCTTCTGCCAGGTTATATGATAGCCTGATTCTAGGAGGTGGGTATTTCCAATTCAGAGAGGCCAAACTAGATGCCCCGTTGTGTGGGTGTGATGGTCACATAACCTGAAACAAAATCAGGCCATGAGAAAAAGGATCTTTTTCCTGATTTGTGAGTATATTTATATAAAAGGTTTTACAGAGTTATGACAGTTGCCTTTAGCTATGTATTCAGCAAATCATACTTATTGAAAAATCTTGAGCAGAAATTAAAATTATTTTAGAAAACCATTAGGAGTGAAAACTAAAATTTCTGGAGCACCTCTTATGTGCCAGAAATAGTGATAAGGGAATGAATTCAAATGATTCTTTTGGGGAAAACTTGTGAGGCAGATACCCACGTTACAGAAGAGGAAATGAAGGCTGAATACCTTCCCTAACATCTCACAGCGAGTCAGGGGTGGAGCTGAGGCTGTGAAGCAGGTGGTCTAACCCTGTAACTCCCTTAGATCCTAAATTCCCAACCTTCTCCTTCTCCAATTTTCTTGGCTTCCTTCACTTTCAGCCTATCTTGACCTTAAGAAGTTGCCATGCATTATGGCTTTTAGACTAGTCATTCCTGAGGACAAGTTTGTGCTTGTAGAAGCAGAAATTAACTCACATTGGACTCACCTTCAGTATTTTGGCTGGATCATAGCACAGCTCTAAATTAATTTATCATTTGTGCATTTTGTTTGCTGATCACTAGATAGTTCTCTTTTTTCTTATCCTTCAGAGAATCAGATAGCAAATGAAAACAAACCTGTAATAATTCAACTAGTATTTATTATTCACCTATTGTGCATCTGCTAATAGTGCTGAAAAGTAGACGTCTCCTAACAGCCCAGCCTGCTCCTGATGAAGGGGTGAATCATTGAGAACCCCACAGATCAGTTTGTTCTCATTAAAGAATGTGTAGTGCAATGATGCTTTAGTTTTTATTTACGCCCATGATGTGTTACGATTGTAGGAGCAGCAGTTTTTATTTGACAGACACATATTTCTCATCAGCTCTCCATATTTTCTTGACTTCTATCTTCTTTCTGTTCAGACCAATGACCTCAGTGTGGGGACATGTTCTTGCAATGGATCAGTTGTATGATTGCTTTGTTTTCAATTCCAGGCTCCGCGTCTCCGGCAGCTTTTTGGCACCGTGGAAGTGCTGGGGTGTTTTGTGTAGTCTTTGACCAGGCAAAAGATAAACCTGATTCCAGAATTCCTTACAACAGCTAAAAGCAATTCAGTGATTCTCACTCTGCTGTCTACAGCCCAGCCACACAGGGACTCCTAAAAGATAAACCCACAAGAAATCGAAAAGGCTAAGCAAACAATGTGACTGACCACAATGCTTCCTAGTGCATCAAATTCTGCTGGCATTACATTGTCGGCCTGACGTGGTAGGCCCACAGAGATCCCAATCTCTGTTCTGTGCTGACTTTACTCTCTTAACTCAGAAAAAAGTTTAGGAAGGAAATTATTTTTTTCTCAGCCTAAAAGGGAATATTCTCCTGCCTAAATTTGCTTAAGAACACTGTACTTCCCCTTTGCAGTATTTTGCGTGCTTATAATATACTTATTATAGTTAGCACGTAGTGATTTTATTAAATCTACCTGATCTTCTAGATAGTAAAATTTATGAGGGTGTCCACTATGTATGTTTGGTTCATTATGATATTCCAAGTGACTGGCACAGAGTAAATACGAAATAAATATTTGTTTCCTAAAAATCTGATCCTGAGGCAGGTTAATAAAAAGCTAGGAAAATTTCTTGGCAAGTGGAATGGGGAAACTGAGACAGACAGCTGAACAAACTGGCAGAACAATTCGCAGCCAGATACAGGTCACCAGGACAGTGCCGGACCTTGCCACCCCTCTGTGGCTTTTCCTCTTCTAGTATATCACTGGTCATGAGACTAAGACCTCCCTACCCTGGTGCTGACCAGTCAGTAGAGACAATGACCTTGGAAAAGCTGATTAATATTCTACTGAGATCTCCCCTGAGGCCTCCCCTAAAATCCCTACGTTTGGAAAAGAAGATAAAACCCCGCAAGGAAGCTAGTACACCCTCCATGGGGGCACACCTAACCTGAATCTTCCTTTTGAGTGAATTCTCCCTTAAACGCTAAGGGTCCCCATTAGACTTGCAAACAGGGGAGTAACAGGCAGTGGCAGCTTGTCCGAGGCTCACCCCCTGAACCTGTCTCCAAGATCCCCTTCCCTCTGACTTCCCAGTGAGCTGAAGCAGCCCTGCCTAGGCTCTCTCTTTGCTTCTTCTACCTTCCTTGTTTCACTGTCCCCAGCTTCAATAAATATATTCTCAAAATCACCTAAACTCATGTTGTGAAATTTTTCCTGCCTAAAGTCAAGAACCTGCACTCTCCAGGCTGGCTCTATGCAGACCCTCTCAGGGCCAGGTCCCCTGTCCAATAACAATCCCCATAAATCCAACTAACTCTAGCAGTACCAGGCTGTAAGCTCCGAGAGGACAGGCACTTGCCAGCCGCGTGCACTCGTCGCTCTCTGTATCCCCATCTCTGAGCACAATACCAGGCACGTAATAGACCCTCAATAAATATTTAAGTAAATGAGCACTCACAATGGAGATGTTAATGAGTTGAATAACTATTTAGTTTTTTAATAGCAAAACCTAGGTGCGGATTGTGTATAATGCTTTGTCCTTTCTCTCTTCTTTCTGTAAATTTCTTTAAAATAAGTGTCACCACAGACTGCCCCTCCTCCATGGAGTTTGAGCCACTACCATCATTAAAAACTATTGTTCCACTCAAGCACTATATAATCAGCAGATAGACACTACATCCCATGTGGACCCACTAATTTTGCTACATACAATTTTAGACCACTTGTGCATAGGCAGTACTATCAAATCCAAAAATACATATCATCAGAAGGAACAAGCCTCCCTGAGCACCTATGAAGAGGTCTTCTTAGGACTGAGGCCAAACTTTACCAAGTTAGTTTCTGAACTTTCCATTCCTGACAGTGACTCCTGGCGGTGGCTTTCCATTCCCGGCAGTGGTGACAGTGCAAATCAGTAAGTGGCTGGTGGAACTAGCATTTTCTCTGAGGAGATTATACCTGGCAATGTGATTTGTGCCACAGAAGACACAACCATTTTTTTCTTACTCATTCAACAAACACTGGTGTGCAACAAACACTGATGGCCTTATAAGAAGAGAATGAGAGCGATCTCTTTGTCTCCATGTGCACATACTGAAGAAAGGCCATGCAAGGACACAGCAAGCAAGTGACCCTCTGCAAGCCAAGAAGAAAAGTCTTGTCAGGACCTGACCGTCCTAACACCTGGATCTTGGACTTCCAGCCTCCAGAACTCCAACCCAGCTGAGGCAGCAGACACGCGAAGGAACTATCTTGGAAACTGCAGTCCCAGGTGACCTCCCTGCCGAGTGCAACGGCATCATGGCCCCAGCTGTCACCACCGTGGAGCAGAGCAACCATCCAGCCATCCCACAGGATCAAAAAATAATAAACTTTTGTCTTAAAGTTAAAAAAAATATATTGTCACTAATAAATTGACAAGAGAGGTAAGAGGGGAAGAAAGAGTAGGCAAGTAACATCACACAGCATGTGAACATTTATATACCAGGCCTATATTGGTGGGATTTTTTCCCTTATACTTCACAACTTTATGAAGTAAATACTATTACTTCTATTTTGTAGAGACTGAGATGTATACATTTACAGAACATATCTCAGATCAAAAACCACTTTCCGGTGTTTTAGCATGAAAATTTTCTATCATAAGAAAAACCTAGATTCTATCAATTTCTATCAACATTTTACAACGTGTGCTTTTTACCCAGCTATCTAGGTATCAATTTCTCTAGCCATACATTGATCCATGGCACTTTTTATGCATGTTAAAGTAACTTGAAATGCTTCAGTGTGTGTATCATCAACTGGAGTTCAATATTTGTTTAAGTTCTTTTTTTATTCTTTCAGGCATTTTACATACAATAAAGTGCACAAATCCAAAGTGTACCATTATATGAGTTCAGAAAAGTATATACATATGTACAATACAAATGCCTATTAAGCTACAGAACATCACCATCATTTCATAATGTTCCTTCATGTCTCTTCTGAATAAATTTCCACCTCAACCTCTGGTAACACCAATGTTCTCATGTGATCCACGTGGGTCACCCATACCTGTTCTAGCTCTTCATGTACTAGAACCACAGAGTTTGTACTCTCATGTAAGTCTTCTTTCACGCATTCGTGGCTCTCACTCATCCATGGTTTTGTGTGCATTAGTGATTCATTCTGCTTATATCTCACTAGTATTCCATGGGTGACTATATCATAGTTTGTTTACCCATTTTCCTACTGATGGA